AGAGTATTTCTAAGTGTTTGAAGTGTTATTCTCCACTACTTTTCAGTCCATTTTCTTTTTCAAAGTCTGTTGGAAGCTGGCAAAGCCTCCTCTCATGTCTATTTTTGAGATGGCATATGCATCCCAGGTCCTCAAACATATGCCAATACATACCCTCTGATCTCTGCAAGGGCTTTGGCATGGAAATACATGTCGTATCAATCCATTTTGAGATGTGATATTAAAAAGTTAGATTTGACATTTTTAAGGATTACAGATTTTCTCTCTCTTTTAAAGAGCTTCTACAGAACATACCCAAAAAACCTCACAAGACCTTTCATAAAAATGTTGCAGGGTTAAAATAAATGCATAAACAGCAGCCTAATAATGGCAGTGTTGAAAAAACAACTAGAATAAACAGTCTTCTTCCACTAAAAACAGATTGGGTTTCACCTAATCCCAGTTATTTCCTTCTTAAAACTAATGAAAATCATTTAATTAAATAACTGGCTGAACAGACAAGGCCCTATACTTAACTATTAGCACTTCCCTATCATCTGTTAATTTGGAAGAAACTTTTAAATGCTACCTCCACTTAATTCTAAAGTGTTAGAGCACATTCTAGGTATTAGCAAAGCGAATCCTACTGTTCTGGGGGTAAGAGGGGAAGCAAAAAAGTGGAAACCTGGGTAATCAGAAGACATGCAGAACCCCTGGGAACTATTAGCACAGAGGTAGTCAACCTAGGGCAAGGATGGCACAAGTGGCACAGGCAGCCTCTATGTGGCATGCAGCAGACTGGAAAGGGAACAGGCAGGACAATGGCAAATAAGCTAGGGAGCAGAAAGCAAAGCAGCATATCATGCAGGGGGTACAGGGCAGGGAGCAGAAAGCAGAGCAACACATCAGGCAGAGGAAGGAGATTGGAGTGACACTTGGGGAAGGCACAGAGTTAATTTGTGGCATGCCTGCCAAAAAGGTTGCCCCACCGCCACTAGGTTAGGAGACCCAGCACCCTCCATTTCAGCTGTGCCATCATCGCCATACATTTTAATATGTTGATACCCGCTACATGACTATTTCCAGACAGAAAGAAAAGAAAAGATAATTGTGAGGGGAAGTACACAACAGGTAGCCAGCATGGAAAAGGAGAAGGAAAGAACAATATTAGAAGAAGAGGATAAGAAAGATACAGCCCTTGGCATGTAGAAAGGCTTGAAATGATGAGAGAACCTCTGACATGCCCCCTGGGGACAAGCAGTGAATGGGGAGTACATAAAGACCTGGCACAGAAGGAGAGGTCCAGGGAAAGGGATATTTTCTGAAATTGAGGGAAATGGGAAGGTGGCACACAGGCAACTCATGGGACAGAAAAAGAGGGCTACAAGCAGTCCCTGGAGCACCCAACAAGCCTGGCCTCCAGAACCAATTAAGAGTAACATTTTTTTTTTTAATAAAAATGGCTTGACCTGGAAACCTGCTAACCTTATCACGTGCTGCATCTTTGGGAAAAGAAAAATGGCATTAAAAACCCCCATTCAGCTCTGTGGATTTACAGTGGCATTCCCATTTTTTACTCAGTGTTTTGTGATGACCCCTGCCACAGTAGGCCAAATAAAAGTGTTATTATTGTGAGACTGACTGAACATGCAAGGTACTATCAAATGCACAAACTAAACACCCAGGGAAAGATTTCTCTTTTCTTCTTTCAGTTATGAGAGGTAGTTAGCCTTGGTAGCCTGAAGTCAGGACGAAAGCAGGGCAGGGTGACACCTGAAAGACTAACTTATTTGAAAAATCCATAAGCTTTTGTAGGTGACAGCTGATATGCCAGAGGCTATGAAATCTTATTCCTTTCTGAATGAGTTAGTTTTTGAGGTGCCAACCTGCCCTGCCTTCTTTCACCTGAAGAAGGCAGTGTAGATTTACACCTTATAGACTAACCCAAGTATATAAAGATCACAGCATCTGAGGAAGTGAGCTTCAGCCCATGAAAGCTTGTGGTATGTACATATATACACACACTTCGGTTAATCTAGAATAAGGTGCAAATCTACCCTACCTTCTACACAACTTCAAACTAACATGACTAACTACATCTCTCTTTTTTTCCACTTGTATTAGGCTCACAGGTGCTATCTGTAACAACATACTTCCGTGCATACTATACACAAGCTATTGCTGTAAGTGAACAATGATGTTCCCCTTTCACTGAAAAAACAAGTAAACATCTTAAAAGAAAAATATTCATATTTCACTCATCATAAACAGAGCAGTTAAAAACCACAACAATAAAAGCTTTTTTCTAAACGGCCAAACAACGTTACATCCGCATCCATTTATTGATAAAGTATCTTTTAGTGGATCATCATATGAGTATCAACTACATTATCAGTCACTTTAAAGGAAGTTCACTTGCTATTTGGGGACCTATCCTCATCCTTCTTTTTAATGCACTTTACTTGTACCAGCTCAAGGGGGAGGGGAGGGAGATTTGTTTTGTTTCTTTGGACCTGCTTCATATGAAAAGGATCTTTTTGTTTGTTTGTTTGGGGGTTTTTTTGTTTTTTTTTTAATATGCTGGCACTGCAATGGAAATAAGAATTTAATATTTACACTGGCACATTCAAAGTCTGTACAAACATGAACCTGTTAATTCTATTATTACCATCATTTTAGAAAGAGATAGTTACCCACGTTAGTCTTAAGTTAGGCAGAAAGTAGGGTAGTGGGATACGTGATAGATTAACTCGTTCAGAGAGGCATCAACTTGCATAGGCTACAGGCTACTCTACCAAGTGCTAG